TTACCATTGGTTGGTGATGATACAATACTGCTTGATGGCTATTGCCATCAGGTTCCAGTGCAGCGTGAATTCATGAGCTGAATTAATTTTATTCAGTAACACACCCTGTAAATTCCTCTTGGAAGATACAGGGCAAAACGATGTAATTTAGGATATAGGTTAGTCCAGCTCCATGTCAGTTTCTGTGACCCAGCTCTCTTGGTGACTAGTGTATGAATTTCCTCTTATATTGATATTTGTAGGCTGTTATCAAGACCCCCTCAGCTATCCCTTAGCCAAGCTAGACTCTTTAGTTCTTGTAACCTTTTCTCCTAACAAAATCCTTCCTGCCCCCTAATCTTTTTTTTGTTGGTGTTCTCTGAACTCCCTCCACTTTGTCTGGATCTTTGTTAATGAGGTGCCCTGCAATGAATTCAGGATTCCAAGGGTAGCCAGCCATTGCCTTATGATTTGTGTCACAGCATTGCTTGGAGACCCTGATTTTCCTGATTTTGAATGCTGTCCAGGCAAAAGGTCATTGACCTCTTTCTGTCATGATGAAAATGCCTCTGCTTACAGTGGACTTTGCCTCCATAAATCATTTCAGTCCTGTCAGTGTTGCTGTCCACCATTGCCCATGACAGGTGTTTTATAGGCTCACCGTTTGCCAGAATACTTCAAGTGTAGTGAGAGTGCTCTCTGTGAGCAGCTGGTTTTCATGGGTTATTTCTACAAGGTCTGCTGCTTGCATTTCTTCACAGGGTTTATTCCCTGTTTATTCCTGGGTATTTGCTGTGTAAATATGGTAGAGACAGAGATTGGCAGTGATGGGATACCAGAGCTCTCTATGAAGGGGTCAGCAGCATTGGGTTATCTACAGGGAGATCACTGCTTCCTCCCATTGATTTTTCTGCAGGGTTTTTTCAGAATTCTGTTCTATGAATTGACCATGACTATTCAAAATTCAATCTTTGTTGCTTCCTGGTGATTGGTCAGGAAATCTTGTACAATGGATCGAGTAAATCACATGCTATATGATGGAGTTATACTCAAACACACCATGTATTCCCCCTCCTGCTGCTTGTTGCAAAGCTGTGGAGAGGTGCACCCTATTGCCTACTTGCAGCAATGCCTCCAAACGTGTGGCTGTGCGCTCTGAGCTCTAGGTGCAACTTGCGAGTGCAAAGCGGGAAGAGAGTGAAGCGATGTGTAGCCCAGCTGTCAAATCATCAGAGCTTAGATTCCAGCTGGCCACTATGGCATGCTAAGACTTAACTGTTTCTAGAGCAGGCAACTGTTAACCTCCCATTAAGTGCTTAGAAGCCGCACTTTTGAAAGTGGGTATCTGTGCCTGGTGTTGGGGCACTCTCCTTTGGAGAATGATTTGAGGGACTGAGCAGATGCACTCACAGCATGAAGATGACTAACAGATTAACCCCAGTGCCCCAGGTTGGTGCTGCACTATAGACAGTACTTTGGGTGACTCAAAATAGGGTGCTATATTAGGTTAATATATACCTCACTGTCCCTGAAATAATGACTTCCATATCTCTAGGCTTGATCACTAGTAGCTGGCATGTTTGCAAAGCTGTTAACCTCTGTCTTCACTAGCATGTAACATGTAACTAACATCTTTAGAAAACAGCCAAACTTTTTAGTCCAGGAATGAACATGTGCATGCATCCTCACTAACATCCTTAGGAAACAGCCAGATTTTTTTAGTTCAAATATGAACAGACACACACACACACACACACACACACACACACACACACACACACACAGTTGGGGACTTGTACACTCATGCTCCCAGCAGAGAGAGCTGTTGGTTTTCAGCATGAGAATGGACTGAGAGGACTGTATAGTGTGCCATCTGTGGCCTGGGTGGCAGACATGCTGCCTTTCTGCACACGGAGCACAGATAGTGCCTCTTTTATTCTCCTTGCCTTGTGATTAACCTTGATGAATGTGTTTCAGTCTCTGCCAGTGCTCCCCATCAGCCTGCTGTGTTCAAAATCCCAGCTGATTCCAGGGATACTGTGCTGAAAGGAAGAGGATGCACCTCCCAGTTTTTGAGCCAGCTCACAAGTGGAGGCTGCTAGCTCAGTACCTCCTATCATGTTCTAGGTCCTCCTAGCATTCACAGAGAAAGAGGGGGAACAAGCCTTCTGTGTTTGGGAGGGAAGTTTACATGAGGGCAGCCTCTGCTAGGCCGCAGCTCCTGCCCTCTTCATTTAAAGCTGCCTTCTGTCCTTCCCGGCTTGTAAGAGTTCCTGAGTGTGGATTCTGTTCCTGGACCATAGTTAACCGTGCTGGTATACTCCAGCTCTGACCCATAGTACCCCTGATCAGCCAGTCTTGGACCTCATGGTACTACCAGTGCTCCTGGATTGGAATACTAACCTTGGACTTTATGCAGCTCTACCAGTAACTTTAGTCCTGACCCATGCTCCACCACCCTGTTAAACCACTCTTGGACTGTTGCAGCTCTGCCAGTGCACCTAAACTCTGAACTGTGGAGCTTGGGCTTATTGCAGCACTTCAGTCCTGACCTATTGCACCATGCCATAGCAGGCCTGGATCCTAACACCCTGCTATGCTGATGCACCCTAATCCTGATGCCTAACACCCATGGCTATACCAGCCCTGTCCCCTCTCCCTGCTCTGCTGGTGTGCCTCAATCCTGACTGGCAAGCAGTCCGTCACTATTCCAGGCCTCCAGAACCTCCAGATCTTCTGCATTGGGATTCCACTCACTTTGGACCAAAGCCACAATATGCAGCTCAGTGCCTTTGATTGAAAGGCTGATGCTGTGATCCAAGGTGGAATCAGTGTCCAATCCAGCTGGCCTATTAACCTAGCAGAGGGTCTGGGTCTGTACTTGGATGGGAGACTGTCTCGGACGGCCAGAGCCGACTCGAGTTGCGTTAGAAATTGGTCGTACGTTAGGGCGGGCTGGTGAATGGAGAAGCAGACACAACTTATTGGTTGCAAAAAACTTTACTCGCGCCGCTTGCAATCACGACACAGGTGGTCCGGTCGTCTGAACAACCATGCGACTTGTTCCAGCTGGCAGGGCCCAAGCCAGTTAATCTGTCTGCAATTCGAAGCCGGCGGGGAAAGGGGTACGTCTGGGGTTGCGCTTGGCGACGGGAAGAAAGATCGATAGGTGATCAGTCTATCGATCGGCAGCCGCAAGTCAGGTAACTTCAGAGGCACTCTGCAGCGTGCTCAAAGCTCTTCGACTTGGGCGGAAGTCGCGCGGAATTTTAAACGGCCAGCGAGCCAATTACTAGCCGCCACGTGTGAATAATTTAGCACTGGCCAATAGCGGGGCACAAATTTACATTTGAATAGCGGGAACTCTTTGCACCGTGTGTTCTGTGCTGCAAAGAAGAAATGCATCTTGCAAAGGAAACTGCAAATTGGCGGGAACTCTCTCCTACACGCGGGTTCTCAATTGCAGCTCTGCCGTGCATAGGAGCTCTCATGTGGCCAGGAAATTCCATAGTGCCGAGGCACCAAAATCACTGGGTTGTGACAGAGACCACTAAGGATCACCTGTTTGCTCCAGTGAGCTGTGTTGGTTGTTGAGTAGGGTATAGTCAGTGCTGGTAGTAGCGCTCTGGAGTGGTGGTAGGTAGGGGTGTTGTGCTACAGAATATGGTCTGAGTGGCTCAGCAAGGGCAATATCCTTCTGACTCTACTGGCCCCAGTACTGTTAGAGGAGCTCTTTATTCCTGATTCCTTGTAGCCATTCCCACAGTTCTCTGAAGAGTTAGGGAAGGAGTTGCTTCCAATCCCAGCTATGCAAATCTCAGCCTGGGGAGCAGTCTGCTCCTCTTGCAGATCCTTCCTGGCAGATCCTTCCTGTAATATGGGAGTCTTTCAGTTCCTGACTCAGTGGAGTAATGCCATGCAGCTTCCAGACCACTGCCACCTCCCATGCCAGAGGATGGCATAACAGTGGTTGGCACTGATCCCTGCAGAGTGCTTCTCTTTCTGGTTGGCACTGTTATTTCTGTTGTCCTTATGCAGATGCCCCTCCACCCTCCAGGAGGGCTGCCTGCAGTGAGGACTTCTGGTTTGATGGTTATTCTGTGCTTGTGGTGAGAGAGTGGTAGGATTATTTATAATGATTGGCTCACAGATGCCTCTTTGGCATCCTGCTGCAGGGGCCCTGTAACTTTCTGGTGGAGGGAGGGGATGAGGGAGGGGTGTGTGCGCGCACGCATGCATGCATACTGTTGAGTAGCAGAATCAATACACTGGGGATGCCTGGTCCCCCTGCCACAGTGCCATGCTGGGCTTGAGGCTGTTTACTTACTCTAAGGAAGCTTTTAACTTTAATAACATTGCACAGCAATAAGGAGGCAGCAGCATGAGGGGACATGGCAGTGACAGGATGATTTAAATGGGCTCTTGGTGTTGCTTCATCTTTGCAGACATCATAAATCAGATTAGGATTGAATTGAACCAAGGCAAGGGGGAGAAGGGGCAGTGTGAGGGAGGAAGGGAGATAGACAATCCCGTGGTAGAAAGCAGATGGACGGCCTCCCCCTTCAGCACAGATACAAGGCCCCATAACTGCCTCAGGTGGGCACCCTCATTCTTCCCCAAACAGGTGCCTCCATCACTGCTCCTTGGATGGGTGCTTTGTGTCCACCCCTGGATGCATAACTTTGCCCCAAGAGATGCCCCAAGTCCCTGCTCTCCATGCCTGCTCCACGAGATCTCTCCCATGTGTCCTTACTTAACATCCCTATTTCTACCTAGGGGAATGCTCCTCATGTGTGCCTCCAATTCCCTCCAGAACAGGAATCCCTAACAGTCATCTCTCTGATGAACTGGGGGATGGACACCCC